TCTCTCTCTCTCTCTCTCTCTCTCTCTCTCTCTCTTTCTCAGTTGTCTCTCTCCCATAATACTGCAAACTTCATTTTTATTTTGGCAGAATTGGGTATTGAACTTAGAACCTATAATGGCAAGTCTAGTGTTTGCTTCTAGTCTCTGAGAGTTTTTAAGAAGATGGAAAGGAAGGCCTCAGCTTTGCCCCTTGTTCCTGGGTCCCCTTGCTATCAAACCAGCAGAGGGAGCCTCTGTCCTGGCAGTCATGACCACACCTCTAAAGCCCAAACTAGTTGAGGACTCTAAACCACTCACCTCCCAGAACCATGATCTTCTTACGAGTGTCCTCACTCAGGAAGGGTTTGATGAGGTTATAGGCCACAGGAAACAGCTTAGGGGCTGGAATAGAGACCAGGCCATGTGAGCCAGAAGCACACAGCCAGCCCCTAACAGTGATGGCCACAGCCCACCTCTCGGCAGTGCCCCCATCCTATGCTGAGTCACATATCCCTTGGGCCTGTGGAGCACACATTGGCAGTTCAAGGTGAGGTTCATCATGGTATCTGGTTATTTATTTATTTGGTTTGTTTTTGGTTGGCGGGAGGGCAGATTTTTCAGCACTGAGGATTTAAACCCAGGGCCTTCTCACTGAGCTATACCCTCAGCCCATTTTTTGAGACAGGATCTCACTAAGTTGCTAAATTGTCCAGGGTGGGATCAAAACATGCAATCCACCTGCCTCAGCCTCTCAGAGTTCTGCAGTTATCAGTGTGTGCCACCAGGCCTGGCCACAATACCTGTTTGAGGTCCGGCTTGCCCATCTGTATGGTGGGTCAGGATCCCTTCCTATGTCTCTGGCTAGGTGACTCAAAAGAGGCAATAAACACTAAAAGCCGTGCCTGCAGAGTCAGTGTCAGTCTTCCCAATGTGTTCTTAACCCTTCCTTGGATCACTTATTTTACTCTCCACATCTGGCCCAAGTCTTATTTTTGGTTCCCTCTTTCCCATTCGGCCTCATTACAGAAAGTTCCCAAACTGGGGCAGGGGAAATGGCTCAATAGACTAAGCGCTTCTGTGGCAAACACAGGGGCCTTTGTTCAATCCCTGGTTCTGCCAAAAACAAAAACACAACAACAAAAATTCCCTACTTACCTTTAACAACAAAAAGACGCTTCATTGTTTCAGGATAATTTTCCTCAAACATGCAGAGAAACTGTGGAAACAAAAATCACTGTGATCCAGCAGGCTGAGGCCTCTGTGCCAAGGAGAGAGGCCTCACTTCTTCCAGGCTAGAATCTGTCCCCATCGTCCCATCCCACAGGGCATCCTGGTCAAGAGGCCCTGTGCCCCTGCTCCTCACCTCTCCGTAGGCTTCTATTGCAGGCTTCCAGAGATGCTTCAGGCCAAGACCTTCACAGTCATAAATCATTGTGATGGTCTCTATTTTCTTCCCCAACTGTAGGGAACAGACAGCCGGAAGTCACATTAGTGTCCCACTACCGAAGCCCAGCCTATTTCAGAGCCAGTATTGATTACTCATCCTACAGTCCAGGCCCAGGGTTTCCCAAGTAACGATCACCCCCAGCTAGAATGGTGACTCCCCTTCCCAAATTTCCTTGTTCTTATTCTCTAAATGACTGGGCAGATCTAGAGTACATCTGGGGTCCCCTCTGTCGTGCAGAGTGGCCTTCCTCTGCCTCTGAATCACTTTGTGCTCTGTGGCCAGCACTGGGCCTGAACTACTTCTTGCTCAGGCTTAGATGCTCTGTCCCCTGTGTCCCTGGCTTCTTAGCTTCTGCACACAGGAGCCTTTCTATAGTCATTCAAGGATGGCACTGTTGAAAAGTCCCCAAACTTTATTATATTGATTTGTTTGTTTGTTTCTGAGACAAGGACTCATTATGTAGTCCAAACTGGCCTTGGTCTCATGACAGTCCTCCTGCCTCAGCCTCCTGACTCTAGGGGTTACAGGTGTGCTCAATTACAATTACTCAGGGATTACCACCTTGCCTGGCCTATTTCTCTGAATCTTTACCTCTGCTGGGAGAAAGGCAAGAAGGCCAGGGGCAGGTCCCAAATATTTCTTATTCTCAAAGGGAATCCACTGTCCTAATCTCTCTTGAATACAAAGTTAGAGAATCACAGAATGTGAGCTATCTGCACCAATACTTGCCCAAGGATGCACTGGTCCATAATAGGGTTTCAATGGTCCCAAATAAATGATGAAAAAAATATAATATAGAAAACAATAAAGGGGCTGAGCAGATAGCTCAGTGACATAAGCATCTGCCTGGCAAGTGAAAGATCCTAAGTTCTATCCCCCCGTACTGCAAATAAATAAATTAATTAATTAAATAATAATAATATAGCTTTGAGTTTTTATGTATTTAGTACAGTGTCTACAGGGTCTCACTATACAGATCAGACTCATAGTGATTCTCCTGTTTTCAGCCTCCCAAGCACTGGGATCATAGGCACATGCCACCATGCCCAGTGTCAATCAACATCTCAGTGCACACAGCAGGCCAGGGATCGAACCCCAGTCCCTGGGTCTGCCTAAGCAGGTGCTTTAATCCATTGAGCTATCTGGTCAGCCCAATAATATAGTTTCTTTATGAAGCTATTTGATTTTTTGTTTTGTTTTAGTTTTTTGAGGGGCCGGGGAGATGGCTCAGTGGAATAAGCGCTTCCCTGACAAGCGCAAGGGCCTGAGTTCAATCCCCAGTTCCGCAAAAAAGTTTTTTGACACAGGGTCTTGCTATGCAGTTCAGGTTGGCCTTAAGCACACTTTGTAGCCCAGGCTGGTCTTAAACTCACAATGATCCTCCTGCCTCAGCTTCTTGAGTGCATTATTCAATTTTTAAGGACTGCATTTTATTCTGAAATTATGTCACTCTTACAGTTTGGGGTATTAATTATGGCACTAATAGATGGACATTCTAAGTCTTGGCTTAACAGAATAAAAATTTGGCAGTCAGGGGACATAGCTCAGTGGTAAAGCACTTTTTTATTGTGCTTAAGGCCCTGTTTCATTCCCCAGTACCACAAAAATTAAAATGGACAACATAAGGTCAGACTCTAAAACTGCGATTTCATAGGTCTATAAAATCTATGCTTCTATCCCTTTGTGACATCTCTGCTTCTGCTTGAATATTTCCACCACAATCAGCTCATCCCAACCCATAGCCATCTACCCACCTTTGTGGTCTGACGGGAGCACTCCTGCAGAAGCAGCTCGCAGTCCCTCATCTTAGTCCTGAGCAGGTCCTGCTTGGTGGCTGAGAACAGCAGACCCTTGGCATCCAGCGGCCCAATGATATCGTACCAGACCGGGCAGCCCTCCAGGTCATAGCCACACATTCCCCCTGATAAGTACTGTTGGATCACCTGGGCACAATGGAGAGGAAGCACCTGGTGGGCAGGCCTGGCCTGTCTGCACCTTCCCTGGATTGCAGAACATTACTCTGGGTTCATCAGTCTCTCCCTCCACATCCCATCCTGGGTGCCAACAGATACCCATGCTGGTAGCCATCAGAGCTCCCATGGCATTGTCAGACTTGTTCTCTGAGGGTCATCCAGTAGGCCCAGGACACTGGCCACAGATCTAATCGTACCAGCATAAGAATGGGCAGGATCATTTGTCCTTACCTCTGGAGGCTGCCAGCTAATGATATTATCAATGTCCTTTTGCTTTCGGAACTCCACATGCTGCAAACACAGAGAGATTTATTTTACTTTATTTATTTATTTATTTATTTATTTATTTATTTATCAGAGAAAGGGCCTTGCTTTGTAGTTCAGGCTGGTCTTGAACTCACTATATAGCCCAGGCTGGCCTCAAATTCATGGAAGTCCTCCTGCCTCAGCCTCTGGAGTGCAGGAATTATAAGTGTGTGCCACCACCCTCCATCAGAAAGAGATTTTTAAAAGCAGGAGATAGGGAAGACTGGGTAGGAATCCATAATAAGCATTTAGCAATAAATGACAGCATGAGCCCACCACTAGGCGACAATTGGTCACTAGAAGATAGTAGGCAAGAGTAGAAAAGAAGGTCCTGCCTGCTTTAGAAGTCTCAGCACAACAGATTATCATTCTTGGCCGGCCCAGAACTATGAGAGCTTTGTGTTTCTCAGGAAGGGAATGCACTTTGTCCCACAGGGATAAGGCAATAGTGGTCAGCTAATACTCGAGATATGTCACACAAGCCAACGGCTGCCACCAGGGTGGGTGGGGGTAGGCAAAAGAATCCGACTAAGGTGTGCTTCTCATGGGGAGAAACTGAGGCTAGAAGCCAGACAGACCTCACCTTCCGTAGCATGGCCTCGGACTTCTGCAGGTCAAAACTTCTTGCTGTAACAAGAAAATGTGGTAAGGGTTAGAAGGGTGGTAAGGGTTAGACCTGGCATGCAAGGATGGAGGAATCAGTCTTGTCCCTTGCTGAGGCCATGCGCTCACTGGCATCTCCCCCGCTGACTGTCAGATCATTCCATGTTGGCTACCTGGGTAGCTAACATAAAGCTGCCCACCAAGGGTGTCTAGAATAGATCTACCAAGGCCCTGGACTTTTTGAGAGAGGAGGTCAACTGCAGGGAATTTCCAGGGGCACCAATGCAACCTCAGACTCAGGGGAGCTTTACCCATTTGATCCAATCAGGTAGAGATCACTTCACAGAGAAACTGAACCCTGGACCCCCCTATCATTCGGCCTTCCCCCGCACAGAAAACTTTACCTCTTCCAAAGTCTGATATCCAACCCTGAGAAACGGATCCACAGTTCAAAGATGAACACAGCTGCCCTGTAATCTGGGGTGGAGCTGGCAGCACATCCCAGTGAGGAAAGAGTGGATAAGCCTTCCGTAAATCTTGTCAAGTCCTTAAAGGACCAACACATACCTCAAAGGAACACAAAGCATTCCTGGAAAGCTGAACACGAACCCCAAGTTAGTCTGCTCAAATTTGAACACAGTGACCTCACGGTCTCTCAGGGCCACTAGTTCCCAGATAATGACAGCTGCCATCTATACTTCTCTTACTGACCTGAGCTTCACTTTAAAGACACTCAGAAAACAGGCTGCTAGGGGCTGGGAAGATGGCTCAGTAGGATAAGCGCTTGACTGGCAAGATCCTTGTGCTTGCCAGGGAAGCACTTATTCCACTGAGCCATCTCCCCGGCTCCAATCCTTGGAACTTTTAACCAGTCCTCTTGCTCAGCTTCATCCAAATAGCTTCCCTTTGGATATCTTTCAGGTTGCCACGGCCTCTCTTGGAGCAAGCTATCCAGAGCCAAGCACATTCCCAGGTGCTGTTTTCCTTTTCCAATAAAGCCAAGGAATGCTCTTGGCAATGGGAACACCCTTAGCCCAGGTGGAGTTGAGAGTCAACTGAAACCCTCAAATCCTTTGCACCTGTGCTGCCACTAAGCCTGCATTCCATACACGGAGAGGTGGGACCTTTGATCCATCCCTATCAGATTTCATCCACATACAGTAAACTTCAGGTCCTCCACTGAAGAGGTTTTGAGATTGCATTATAATTAATTTGGCCACTTGACCTTTGAACTGTGCCTCCTATCTGCACATGGTCCATGGACTTGATAATCACCTAGATCTGCTGACAGCCCTAGAACCTGGGCCAGAAAGGCTGCTCCCTGGACCATCCCTGGTCCCTTCATCACCACTCCCCAGGAGAAGCTGAGCGCATTTCCTGACTTTACCGTTGTGAAATCCTGTCCTGTCTCTTAGGCCCCAGGGCTGCACCAGCAAGGCTGATCAGTGTCATGCCCATAAAGGATTCTGGGCACACGCTGGTAGAATTCAGCAGCCACCCTTGAGAAACGGTCTTGGAACATTCCTCCTGACTACCACTCTTCCTGGGCCACCATGGCAGCCTGGCAAAGCATTTAGGAGAATATAGTGTGGGTTTGCGTATCAGCTCTTCTACTTTTCTATTTGACCTTGGACAAAATGCTGAACATCTCTGGCCAAACCCTCTAATAAGCCTGAGAAGCAAGATGCAAAAGATCCTCTCAGCTGGGTGTGGTGGTACACACATGTAATGCTAGCACTCAGGAGGCTGAGGCATAAGGATTGCTATAAATTTGAGGCCAGCTGGGGCTACATAGTGAGTTTAAGGTCAGCCTGAGCTACATAGGGAGACTCTACCTCAAAATAATAATAATAATAATAATAATAATAATAATAATAATTCTCTCCTATAGAGGAGTTGGACCATGAAAATGGGAATCTGCCATAGAAAGGACACCCCTCCACTTCTCTTCCTAGAGAACCAGGGTAGAGTAGTGGTAAACTGTGAGCCCTTTATTTGGGAGGAGCTCTCTGGTCAACCCTTATCTGTGAGGGTCCGACTCCAGGGGCTTATGCCAGGGATCTCCCTGTGTTGCCACCTCTCCTGGCAGCACCGCACCCAGCCCTCTGAGTTACTGCTAAATCAGGCCTCTCTGGGCTTCCTGCTTGGAGACAACTCAAAGCCTGGCTCAAGGCCCTACAAGAGAGCCCTGCCTTCTCTTGTAGCAGCCAAGACGTAGCAGCCACCCTACATCCATTTTGGCCCACACCTTAGTGCTGAGACTCAGACTTACTCTGCCTTTCTCCCAGGGTTTCTTCCTCTTCTTTATCTTGCTATACCCAGAACTCAGCCCCCAGCATGGAAAGGCAGGGAGGACCCATGTACCTGCTTTTGATATCTGGGGGCCAGCAGAAAGCTGAGCCTGAAGCTTATACCTGAGTTCAGGAAAGATATTCTGCAGCTTGCATATGTGTTTAGATTCAAAGGGAAAAAGAGAAAAGCTGGGTTTTTTTTGGGTTTTTTCAAAGCAACAAAAACCCTGATTGAAATTCATAATAGGGTCTGACCAGGCCTGAGCTCCTGCCCAGGAAATGCGAGGCACAAATAAAATACAAAGGAGATGCTTCCTCTGTTTTAAGAAGCAGAACTTGGCTTCATGGGCAGCTATAGCTTTCTGGAGAGGGTGCTGGCTAGGGACCTGGAGCCCTGTGTGCCTTCAAGTGAGGGTCTTCCCTTCTCTGAGCCTCCTCTTTCTCATCTGGCAAATAAGGATGTTCATGCTCTTTGACAGTCCTATGATATGTGTGCTTGCTATGCACATATCAAACCTTATAAATTCTGCAAAGAGGAAGTTATCCTGGGACTTAGGAGGGAGGGAGGTTTAGGTGTAGGGAAAATAGCCACCAGGACTCCTCCCCTGGCTCTTCCTAGATAAAAGAGAGCTACATGGCTGTTCAACGGTTCTCTGAAACCACACATCTCCTCCCAGCAGCGTAGGTTTGATCAGCATCTCACTGGCCCTTTAAGAAGGCCACTGTCTTCCTACTCTCTCCACCCACCTGCTTCCAGCTCCAGCCTTAGACAAATGCTGGGCCCAAATTCCCTCCGCCCAGATCTGAATCCACTGCCACACCCATGCTGCCCCTCCACCCTCTCTGGGTGGAGTTGGAGTGGGAGGAGTCCGGGTGAGGATCACAACTTTTTGGGGAAATAGCAGAGGTACAGGAGGCCCCACTTGGCTCTTCTGGATCCACCTGCCCTCAAGTATCTGTAGTAGGCCCTCAGAGTGGCACTCTTGTCAACTTTCTGGAAAGAGAAACTCCTTTTCACTCCAGGATTCCTAGGACTCATAGATTTGTGTATCCACAAATAAATTATGTTTTAATATTTTGGGATATGATTTTATATCACAACTTGAGCTCGACTAATCCAACAGTGGAATTTCATTATTTCTATTTCTGGTAATAAAATTTCTATAAATTTAAAAAAAAAATGCTGGGTGCAGTGACACACATCTATAATTCCAGCCATTCAGGAGGCCGAGGCAGAAGAATCTCAAGTTCAAGGGCAACCTGAGTAACTTAGTGAGACCCTGTCTCAAGATGAATTAAAAAGGGATGGGAATTTAGCTTAGTGGTGGAGCACCTGCCTCACACACTTGAAACTCTGGGTTCAATCACCAGAACCATCACCACCATCTAAAATTTTCTTTAAAAAGGTATGTTAGAAGAATCCCTGGGCACTGTGTGACAATTTATGGGAAAAAAGAAAAGAGAACACATGCAAACGGCTTCAGGAGCTGGGGATGAGTTTGATCCTGACGATGCCAGTAGCAGCATACATGCCATCACCACACGCAGGGCACAGTCCTGTCGTGGCTTGCAACAGGCAGGGCGTCAGTTATCATCTTGTTTTGTAGAGGAGTTGCTTAGGGAGGATGTGACCTTCGCCCACGAGCAGGCCAGGGCAGAGCTTGGGCTGGAACCTGGGCCCTGCGACCTGGCAGCGTGTGAACAGAGTCTGAGCCCCCTGTGCTCTCAGTGCACACTGCTCTCCTTCAATTCCCGGGCTCCTGGCAGCAGGAAAGGCCTGTCACCCAACAGGGCACAAGGTGGGCTGGCCTCCCCCGAGAAGCCTGGACTCTGCCTCTAACCTCAGCACTGCCTCCTCTGATTTCCCACATGGTCGCTTTTCCTTAGTCCATTTCCCCCAGGCCACCAGCCAAGCCGGTTAATGGAGCAGATGGAAAGGGCATGGCTGGCAGGCAGTGTACCAGGGTTCTACTCTCTCTGCCTGCAGAAAGTAACTTGAAGTGACTCTGAGCCTCCATGTCCCTACCTGTCCAATAGAAAGATTGAGTTTTACAATTGTCAAGTGTCTTATTGACCCTAAAGGCTGATCACCCCAAATCCTCAGATTCTAGAGGGTACCATTCTGATATCCACAACCAGCCTCTACCCGAGCCTCCCACAGCCCCTCTTTCCTCACCTCGGAGCCAGCGCAGGAGAAAATAGTCATCTGGATTCGGTAGAGTAGGCAACACATCCTGCACATTCTCCCGAAACTGCAGGAAGAGGCAAGTATATGAGTGGTCAATCCCACTGTGACCACCCTCTGCCCAGGATTCTCCATGAGGGCCTTTGCTGACTCCCTCTTTTACACAGTTGCATGCTGCAGGTGCGTGGGGCCCTCTGTCTCAGTAAGAGGTGCCTGGTAGCAGGAGAGAAGAAAGGAACACGACACTGCCCCTGCCTCCCTTCAAGCCCTCTGCACACCACTCTGGAGGCAGGTGCATGTGTTCCCAGCTAACTGCAATAGCAGGCCCTCTGGTACATGCCTCTGTAAAGGCTGTCGGTATACCAAGCGTACCCCACACATGCAGCACTGACCATGGATACCTCCGTATCACTCACTCCTCACTCAGAGCCCTTACAGGCTGCACCATCCCCATTCTACAGATGAAGGAATGAAAGTTCAGAGAGGCTAAGTAACTTGTCCAAGTTCAAGCAGCCAGGAGTGAGCAGGGCTGGGGTACAAATCCAGCTCTGTCTGAGTTGAGCGCAAGCTCTTTCCACTGTGGCCTTCTGCCCTCTTGGTATTGACTCAGTAGAAGTGTGCTGGAAGTGAAGGCTGAGAGTGTTTTCAGGACTCTACTTTTAAAAAATGGTATTGTGGCATTTGAACTGGGCTTGAAGGGCTTCAAAAGCAACAGAGGGAGGGGCAGGCAAACCAGGTGAGGGGAACAGTTCCAGAAGGAAATCATGAAAGGTGAAAGTTCAGGGAGCAAAGAGCGACCCCAAGGGACAGCCACACCTTCCTCCTGTCTCTCACTGCCCTGTAGGTGAGCGGTGGGGGGGGGGGGCAGGTGCCCTCTTTGACCCTCCTACTGCAGCCACTCACCTTTCCCTGGCCACTGACCTACAGGAGAACCCTGAAGGGACCAATTAGGGCCAGCCACCTCTGACCCTAGCCTAGGTCAGCTGGGCACTCAGGCCCTCCTACTCCCCAAAGCAGCTAGGAATGCACCAGAGAAACTGCTCACCCAGACCACAGGCATGAAGCCACTCCTCACCACAGACCCTACCCAGTCCCTGACTTCCAGTTTAACTACTACTTAATCCCTCTTCTGCCCCAACTGCCCCCACACGTCAGCGGGAAAATCTGAAGCCTCCTCTCCAGCCTTCCTAGGATGAGGGTTAGGGTGGGAAAGGCTTCATGGGGCCAGTGCCACACACACACTGCCACCAGGGCAGGAGACATCTGTCCCCCTTTCCCAAGAATGGAAAATGGCCCAGCTGTGGAGTCTCCCAACCTCTAGGCTAGACCATATAAATCGCTGACCCAAAGAACAGCCAACCTCCCCCTACTCCCCAAGGGCAAGTAGGTGAGCTAACTGGTGGGGCAGGGGTCCAGCTTTAACTGTTGCCGCTCACCTCCTAGCTTTCTGAAAAGCATCTGTCTAAGTCCCAGACAGGCAGAGGTCTGAGTTGCAAGAGAGAGTTAAACAGTCCCTGCTCCAACTAACGTGAGTCGGATGAGGGATCTTAGGCTCACGCACAGAGATGCTCCCTTCCACAGCAGCTGTCCCAGCCTTCCTCTGTGCTTTCCCAAAGAGCAAAAAGGAAGGGGGACAGGGCTTTGCCCAAGGTCGCACAGAGACCTGCTGCCCAGCAGAGACTGTCCCGGTATCCTAGGGAGCTATCCAGGGCCCTCTCCATCAACCGCTGCCCGCGCAAAAGGAAATGGGAGGAAACCTGGGTCCCTGCCCCTGTCCCTGCCTGGCTGCCAGTCCCTGCCAGCCCGGAGATGAATGTTGCCTTTGTGCCCTCGGCTGCTTCCGAGCAACCACTTCTTCCCAGGTGGCACCGCCAGGGCTTCTTGGGGCTGAGGCCGGTTAGCCAAACTTTCCGAGGTCCCCTGGGCGGGCAGTGGGAGGGAGAAACAGCAGCCAAACCGTGGCGGTGGCGGCGGCGGCGGTTCCCTCTCCGCCCGCCTGCGGGGAACATCTCTGGCCCCCCAGCAGCTGCTTCCACGGGAGGGTGACGGCCGCAGCCCGGGGCGGGCGGAGGACTCACCTTGACCAGTGCCTCCTTCTGTTTGGGACTCAGGTCGCCGACCCTGCCGCTCATTGTAGCTGGGGCTCCGTCTCCCGGAGCGGCGGTGCGGCGGCTGATGGAGCTCGGGTTTGCTTTTCCGATGCTGCGGAGCGAAGTCCCAGCCTCCAGCCCCGGCGGCCGGGCGCTCGGCCAAGTCCCACCTCTTAAAGGATCCCGGGGCGGGGCAGGGCGGAGCGGGGCGGGGCGGCGACGCCTCGCCCTAGGGGGTGGCCCAAGACAAGCCAGAGCACCCACGGGACTACGGCCACCGGCGATCACAAGAGCAAGAGGCTTTGGGCTGGCCCCCAAAGGTGCCTTTCAGGGTGCCCTAAGGCGAGACACCTGAGTTTCCTGGGCCCACCTCCCCGGTAGGACTGCGAGGAGACGTAGCTACCGACCTCTGCTAAGAGCAGATCCTGTAGTGGCAGGTCCCCACAGCTCCTTGCCTCTTCTCAACACCTGATGCCCTGTGAGGGCCACGTCCCCCCAACCCTAGCATCCCCACGTTTCTGCGCTATTGGCGCTTCACTCCTGGGGCCCCAGCCCTCCATCTGTCCTGCCATCCTTTTATGAGCACTGCTGCCAGTCTCCTCTGGGGGGCAGGTAGAGGGAAGAACTCGACGGCAGGCAAAGGAGAAAGGAGGCCAGACCCTGGTCTCCCCACGCAGAGTCCTGTCTGTGCTTTCAACTTTCCTGCTCTTGGGGAGTCTCTCCTAAGACCTCACACATGGGCTTCTTCTCTGTCCCTTGGAAGGCTTGGGTTTGAACGCCAGATTCTCCACTCTGGCTGGAGATTTCATCAGCAGGTGACTTTGTTCACCACTTGGGGGAGATAATCTAGACATCAAGTCAGCAGGAAGCTAAAGGAACCAAAGGGACAAAATTTACTTCACACAATGCCTGGCCCAAGGCTGGCTTCTTAAATAAATAAGTAAATAAATAAATATTTAAAAAAAAAATGGGGCTGGTGAGATGGCTCAGTGGTCTAAAGCACCTACTTAGAACAAGCTAAGCTCAAGCAAAGCACAGAGACCTCGGTTCAATCCCCCAGCACCACATGCTGGCCCGCCCGCCCCCTGGTGGGCTGAGCTGGCCACACACTAAATAAATAAGTAAATAAATAAATATCCAAGGCTGGCTTCTTGTAACCACTTCCTAGCCTGCCCTGTGCAGCCTCGCTTTGTTGCCTGACAAGGAGGAAGCCACAGTGAAAGCGGTGGCTCAAGGAAAGCAGGCCTGCCTGGTGTCAGCTCCTTCGCTTCCCAGCTCTTGCCAAGCTGTGGTATCCTGGGTGGTGACAAGTCTGACTTGTGGGATGGATATTATGGTCTGACAGCAGCAGCCCAGCAGATTCCTGTCTGGCTTACACCACCTGACTATCCAGTCACGCCCCAACCACTGTTCATGCCCATGAAGCCATTTCCTCTTTTAGCTGGAGCTCTGCAGCCTTTCCACTCTGCTGGAGCCCCTGCCATTTTAATCCAACTTTCATATAGTAGCACCTGATCATGTGACTCAGGCCCCTTTTTCCTCCTATGGCATGCTAGGCTGCAGGCACTGTCCTGGAACCCAGACATGAATTGCCAACCTCCATGCCCTCCCAAAGATAAGAAATGGACACCCATCACAAGAATACAAAAGAGAAATGTCCTGAGGAGAGGCAGCAAGTGTCTGGGAACTTAGAAAGGGCAGAATTTGCTTTGGATTGGAAGAATCATAGAAGGCTTCATACAGGGGGAGCAGTTGACCTGGGCCTTAAAACAAGACTTGGAAGAGAGGCTCATTCTTTCTGGGCTAACTTAATGGCATAAGCTAAGTTCCGTTGGTTGAAGGGAGTTGAGGCTACACTAGAGAGGTGGAGAGAGTGTGGCAGGAAGGGTACTCCAGGCCTTGCGTGGCCCTCTTTAGTAGCATCTATACTACTAGACCTTGAGGTCCTTGGATTCAGTGACTTGTGTTTTTCATCCAACACCCCACAAGTCCCTGCGCACAGCAATGGTTAGTAAACCTACATTGAATATAATAGGTTCTGGCCCTAGTATAAATTGCTAAATCATCATGGTGGTTATCTAATATGGCTGAAGCTCTTAAAACAAAAGCCCATCTTCCCAAGACCACCTCTCCCCTTCTTCTCCAACTCAGTCCAGAGTATAGTTTCCTTTCACCCTTCCCACCACCTCAGGGAAGAGCCCCAATCACCTCCCTCAGATGTATTTAAACACCCCCTTCAAAATCCACCCCTGACAAAAGGCCATAAGTGCCTCAGCTTCCCTTTGTTCCAATCAAGAGAATTCCTCATCTTCCCCACATTCTCTCCTTGTCCTCAAAGATAATAAAGCCCCTTTCCCTTTCTTCTTCTACCTGTGTCTCTGCTGCACTGGGCACCTGAAAAAAACTTATCCGAATGCATGAATATAAGAAATGCTCCAATATACGGCCAGGTGTTGGTGACACATCAGAAGGGAGGAATGAGCACAGATATTCAGGGCTCATACAATGTGTCTCATTTAACAGATGGGGAAACGGAGGCCCAGGGAGGGCACAGCTTGCCCAAAGTTGGTAGTGGCATAACAGATGTGGAGTGCCCAGAGCTGGCACACAACTCAGTCATACCTTCCCCTTCCTGGAGTTAGTGCAGAGCTAGGCCTCAAGAATTTACAGGCATCCCACCCACAGATTTATGCCCCAGTGACCTCAAAACTCAAGCCTTCTAGGGCTAGAAAGCAAAATGCTCCTCATCTCTCTCCTTACCCAAAGGCAGTAGAAGACAGAGGCAGGAAGGAGCAAACCTGTTAAGGACACCTGGAAGACTTCACCCTGTCCTGGTACCCACAACCCTGGGTCTGCTGCAAGCTCCAGCCCTGTGGCTGGGAGGCCCCAACCCTCTCCCCTATAAAGAGTTTTCTGAAAGCCCCAGCAGTCCTGCCCTAGTTAAAGCTCATCAGCTTCTGGCTTGGGGCAGGAGAGAGCTGCCTTCCTTAATGGATATGCTATGAAGAGCTTTTTCCTTTTTTAAGAAAAATCACAATACTGATGATTGAACCTAGTGCTTCACACTGAGCTACCTTCCCAGGCCCATTTAGGTTTTTTTTTTTTTTTTTTTACTTTGAAACCAGATCTTGCTAAGTTTTCCAGGCTAGCTTTGAACTTGCAACCCTCCTTTATAGGTAAGCACCACCACTTTTGGCGTGATTAAAATCTTTAAGACCCTCCCAGAGGTAGACTTTACAGAGTAGAAGAATCTACTCAAAAGAAAACATGGGGCTGGGGAGATGGCTCAGTGGAATAAGCGCTTCCCTGGCAAACGCAAGGGCCTGAGTTCAATCCCCAGTTCTGAAAAAAAAAAAAAAAAATTGATCTTTAGGGGCTGGTGAGATGGCTCAGTGGTCTAAAGCACCTACTTGGAACAAGCTCAGCAAAGCACAGGGTCCACGGCGGTTCAATCCCCCAGCACCACATGCCAGCTCAGCCTGCCCCCTGGTGGGCTGAGCTGGCCACACACACACACACACACACACACACACACACACACACACACAAATAAATAAAATTTAAAAAAAAGAAAGAAAACATTACAGTTACCGTGTTGGCTCAGCACTTTACAGTTTGCAACGTGATTCCAGATCTAGCATCTCAATTAAGTGTAGGGGCTTGTGGGCTAACTCAGTTGTTTAAAGCACCTGCTTGGGCAAACTCAGTCAGGCACAGGGGACCAGGGTTCGATCCCCAGCACTACATGCTGCACCAGACCCACCCTACAGGCAGCTTGATCCAGAAAAATAAATGAATAAATAAATAAAAATAAAAATCCTCCAGGTTAAATTAACTGTAGGACAGTTATCTAAGTGGACAAGTTTTTGGATGTGGTGGCACACACTTGTAATCCCAGCACTCAGGAAGCTGAGGTAGGAGGATTGCCTCAAGTTTGAGGCTTAGCCTGCCTTACTTAGTGAGTTCAAGACCAGCCTCAACTACACAGCAAGATTTTGTCTCAAAAAAGGGGTGGGAGATATAGGGTCAGGTGCCCTCAGGCCAAGGTGTAGGCTGGCCTGGAGCTATGTGTAACAAGATCCCTGGGGAAAAAAACAGCCACGCAGGTACAGTCACCCCACAGGAAAGAGTCCCCAACCCCACCCAATGCCCTCACCCCCAAATATAGAATTATCCAAGATAAAAGCCCAAGGAAAGATCTATTTCTCTCCACTGTGCCCCTTGCAGATTCTATGGCTGCCTCCTTCTTCTCCACTGACACTTAAGTCTGGCCTGCTTTGAAACAGCTAGTTAATCTGTTAATATAAATCCTAGACAAATAATCTGGTAAACTCCTCCAAGCTGGTAATGAAGAGAGAGAGCCTGTCCTTCCTACTCTCACCTTTTCTCAATTTCTCAACTTCTTAGTAGGAGCCCCATCCTATAAATTCTGCCTCCCTGCTTGGCATGTTGGGGTCTCCCCCTCAAGAACCATCTGTGACTTCCCAGTTCCTTTAAAAATCACCCCAACCCCACTAACTTGCATTCAAAGCCAACTCCCTATCTCTTCCCAGCAGCCTCATCACCACTCACCCCTTTACACGCTTTTATTTCAGGCCAAGCTGCTATCTGCTGTCCCTTAAACGCACCTCTGCCCTTCTAACTCTCAGAGTTATCTGTCCTGCTTCCTCCTGGCAAATCCTCCTTACCTTTCCAGGCCCTGCTTCAGTGCTGTTGCTGGACCTCCCTGATCTACCAAGCGTGAGCCCTGCCAACCAAAAGCACCTCTTTGCTGACCTTGACACAGACTCATTTGTATTGTGCCAGGGGACGTCCTCCTGGCCCAACAGAAAGAAACTAGCCCCCTGGGTCAGGCAGGCTGAAGGGGAGACCCTTCTGTTGTCATGAGCACAGCCTTGCTGGTGACTGTTAGGGAAGCTAAAAGAAGGTTGCTGGGGTACAGGGATCTAGGAGAGGTGTGTGGGCAGGCGGGGTGTTTCTAGTTGTGGAAGTTGGAGTGCTGGAGTTTAGATTTTTCTGGGAGGCATCTCTAGCCACAGATGAGAGTGAGTACCGGTGTGGGAGTCCAGGCTGTACACAGACGGGTCTCTGAAATCATATGCTGCAGTGACAACTCATCAGTCAGCATGAGCTGTGCTTGTCTTGGGGCTGCTTGC